TAATTATTTAAATACATTTGAAGCATCTGATTAATTTCTGCATAAAAATGTTTCTTATGTCCTGTCCCCAATTTTTTTGTCAGTTTGTTTTGGAAATCAGACAGGAAAAGGATGCCGGGCCTGTGTGGGTCTGTGTCCCCTTTAGATTACTCTATCCTAGCTGTGTTTATCTGGTTTACTTTTCTAATCATTTGAGGAACTTAAATTGGTCTACTTTTCCTGCATGGCAGACATAAAACAAAGAGTTTTCTTTGTAGGTTATCTGTTCATCACAGAAAAAAAACAGTGCTGCATCAGTGGTAATCCTTGATATGGCCAGGATGCTGGGAAGTTGTTTTCTTTTCTCTGTTTCTCCTCTTTAATTTTTCTTTCATCTGACCTTTATCAACCCTCCAACTATCTCATACTTTGAATTAAAATTCCCCCATAATAATATAATGTAATGTAATATAATGTATTTAATATTGTTGTTGTTCAGTCATCCAGTCGTGTCCAACTCTTTATGATCCCATAGACTGCAGCATGCCAGGCCTCTCTCTCCCTCACCATCTCCTATATTTGTTTATTTTGGAGTCATATTTCTCTGGAATAAGTGTTTGATGTGCCAGATATATAAAGACTTCATTGCACTAGAGACTTCTGATAGCTCAGAGCAGAACCAAGATTCAGAACATGAGGTTTGTTAAACACAAGGGAAAGTTTACCAAGTGTCTACTCTGTTCTGGACTTCCCCGGTGGTGCTAAAGAACCCGCCTGCAGATGTAGCAGACAAGGGATGCAGGTTCAATCCCTTGGTCAGGAAGATCCCCAAGAGAAGGGCATGTCAACCCACTCCAGTATTCTTGTCTGGAGACTCCCATAGACAGAGGAGCTTGGCAGTCTACAATCCATAGGGTTGCAAAAAGTCAAACATGACTGAAGAGACTTAGCATACACACTGCTCTGTTCCACACAATATGCCTAGATGGGTGGGAAGTGGAGATAAGACATTTGCTGTGTGTCTATATATAGGAATTTACTGCCTGGCATATAACTGTCATGTGATCATGAAATACAAAAATCTAGAGAAAATGATACAAATGAGTTCAGAGAAGGAATCCATCAGGGAAGACAACACGTGTGGCCTTCGTATTGAAAGAATAGTCTCCGGCAGAGGAGACAGCAGGCTCACAGCTGCTGGGCAGTAAAGCCAGGCAGGTTAGCGAAGCGGTGAGTAATACAGCTTGCCTGAACACACAGTACAAGGCAGGACGCTTGGGAGATAAGATCTGGGGGTCTGGAGAGAGGTTTGAGGAGAGGGAAGAGATGGGACCTTGAATTTTAGATTTTCTGTCTAATACCATTTTAATTATGTCATTTCCTTTCCCCTACACTTACACTGGCTCCTCCTTGCCTGATAAATACAGGAAGAGCCAGCAGCTCTGTGGTAAGTGATTATATAGCAGTAGGATGAAAGAGAAACACGAGCTCCAGCCACAAAATTTAAAGACCAATAAACTGGTCCAGGTTCTGTGTCCTAACATGTCAAACAAGGTCAATCCAAGAAAAGGTTGCTCAATTGAAAATTTACTAAGGGCCCAGTAAAGATCCTGAATCGCCCTGCCCTCTCCTGAATGCCATCCATGTTTTAAATCTTAGGATGACTCCGTAGTTAGAGATCCTGAGTTCTCACAGAAGTAAATGTGAAACAGGTAACTTTTGGCTGTTGTGGTCAAGGATTGAACTGGAAATTCAGTGTCTTAATATTCCAAAACCAAAAAAAAAAAAAAATTCCAAAACCAGTTGTGTCACCAGGAGCTTAGGACTACTTGCCTGACCTTTTAAGATGTTTCACATTATGGGGGTAATTCCTCCCAGGGGAGTTGTTAAGAGAGCTCGTAAAACACTATTATATACCACTCATCTCTGACTAGAGATTTAGAATGAGTACTCAAAAAATTCTAAATGGTTGTTTGAAGCATTTATCTCTGAGATATAGACAGTGATGCATATGACTGGTATAATTCTTTTAGACTCATTTGAATTTCTTGCTCTTCACAAGAACGAGGCACTTCTCTGAGTTACAAATATGCCTAAACAAGATGATCAAAATTCATTTACAGATTCCTCAAGATGGGAACAAAATGAAATTCTATTCAGAACGTCATTCTCTTATCTTTCATCTCAAGAGGTGGATCTCCATGGTATAAGTATTGTGTTTATAAGATTGACATAAGAATCTCCGGAACTTTAACATAAGGAGATAGAGACACTACGCCTTCAATGTGAATATTAAAAGTTAGCTTTATAAAAGGTTTATCAACCCAAGAACTCACAAGAGAAAAGTTACAGGTACTGAAATGGATTGGCTAGTCAAGAAGGCAAATATGAATATGACTAAAGAGTGTGTTTCCTTCCCTTTCTCCCACACCTGCTTGCAGGACTTTCTGTGGCTCTCACTCTGCTTCCTCTCCAAGAAGCCCTGGTAAGGTCTGGGACCCCAGCAAGTGAGTGCTAGTGAAGGGCAATCACCTCCGAGATCTTCCTTCTTCTAGTCTGTTGGATATCGATAGACATTGTTGTCAAGACAAGCCCTGATGTGGTTTAATGGTTTCCTGTCTCGCAACCTAGTTTTGGCCCTCAGCCTATCTGGCTCCTGAGTTAATCAAAGTGACAGTCCAGGTGGGAAACTCTTTACAAATTTTGAAGCTTCTGTGTGGGTGGAGGGCAATGTTATTTCTAATGAATAATTCACTGGTAATTAGTGCCCAAAGGAAAGTCTTCTCTCTCCTTGGTTATTAGCATCCATGTTAGATTCCCCGTGACTTGTAAATAGTTGAATGCTTTGACCCTACTGGAAATGTCGGTCCTATTTTCCATTTGAACTGCCCCCACCTTCAGGACAAGGAAGGAGGGGATGACGTAAGGGCAGCTGTTGAGGGACTGCTCGTTATCCGAAGCTGCCCTGTGACAGGGCTGTGACGGCGAGGACGACAGCAGCAGGCAGACATTGGGATGATAAGCTCCTAAATCACGCTTCTGCTCCCAATGGCACTAATCGGAGTTTGTACTTACTTTATGTGTCTTTTTGCCCCCCATTTCCTCACTTCCCCCACCCCTATAATTCTAAGCTTTGTGAAGTCAGGGACCTTCTACATTGTTCATCATTATACACCCAGTGCCTCCCCCATACACCATAAATTATTTGTTTAATAAATACATAAATTGGTCTTGAATACTGAAAATCTAATTTCATCACTTCAATGCTTAAGAACTCTTCACAGACTCCTCCAAGATGTACAGATAAAGTAAACCCAGAATCGCTGCTTTCGCATTTAAAAAAGTAAGCCATCTGGTTGGTTCAGGTTATTTTCCTACATAGTACCTCACTGTTTCCTCTGCCCTCTCTCTGCGAGGAGGGGATGTTTTAATCATAATAAAAGACTTGCAGTTAATCATGTGTCATATTTGTTCACCTCTTTCCTCATAACCAGCAAAAATCAGTGCAGGAATCATGAGTTTCAGAAACCTTTTCCCAACTCCATCCCCGGTCTTGGTTGGGGGCTAAGGTACTTCATATTATTGGATTACAGGTTTTCTGTTTCATTGTCTATCTCTATTCAAGACATAAAACTCCCTCAAGGAAGAGGACTGTGACGGATAATTTTATACAGCCAGGCTATGGTGCCCAATGTTTGGTCAAACAGCAGATTAGATGTCACTGTGAAGGTGTTTTTAGGCATGATTGGCATTTAAATCAGCAAACTTAGACTAAAGCAAATTACCCTTCACAACATGACTGGGCCTCATCCAATAGTTGAGACCTTCACTTCAGTTTAGTCACTCAGTCGTGTCTGACTCTTTGCGACCCCATGGACTTCAGTACACCAGGCTTCCCAGTCCATCACCAACTCCCAGAGTCTACTCAAACTCATGTCCATCATGTCAGTGATGCCTTGAGACCTTAAGGTCATCTAGACAGAGGGTTCCCAAAGATAATTCTCCAGAAGGAGGAATTCTCAAGATCGTAACATAAAAACAGTGTCAGTTTCCAGCCTGTCCACCAGAACCGGGACTCCAGACTACAGCATCCACTGTCGTCTGAATTTCCAGCCGTCAGGCCTAGCCTGAGGGTTTCAACCCTGCCAGCCCCCGTCAGGTGAGACAAGTCTTAACAATCTCCCTCTTTTCCTCTCTCCTTCTCTCTCTCTCACCGTTCTCTCTCCCTCTGTTGGTTCTGTTTCTCTGGAGAAACTTCACTATCCTGGAAGCTTTCTAGTTTAACTCCTGTTTTTAGAACACAGCACAATAAGTAAATGAAAAATTAAATCTCGCTTGAAATCCCTCTCCCTTAACAGAGGAGAACTTTGCAGTGCCGGGATGGCCATTCAGTCCTGTTGACGCCAACTAAACAGGCCCCTAGCACATACTGAGCTCCCCTCCCCCGTCCCCCGGTGACTCGGTCATCTGACACGTGGTAAAAACATAGTGAGGCAAATACACATTTTATGAACCTGCTTATTTTTTGAATGCCAGGAAATGCATTACAGAGATTCCAACCAGCAACACGTGCCCTGTGAGTCAGAGTAGCTGAGCTGGAGCCTCATCGCCCCTCAGAAGGGGACATCAGGATCAGCCTCTCCTTCTGGAATACTTAAAACTTCATGGCTTTCTCTCTACATCCCATCCCACCCCTTTCTGTTTGTGTTTTGATTTTTGAATGACCGATGAGTCACTGGAAATGACCTCTCCACACCAGCTGCTTTGGCCTGCCTATCACTCAGCATCTGTTCCAAACAAAACGTCAGCATATCTTCAGTGAAGTAAGCAAGCACATAACCAAATGTCCAGGGTGGGGTCCATAGCCTCAGGCTATCTTCCTGGTATTTGCTGGACTCCTGGGTTTATGCTGGAAAAAGCCGGGTGTTCCCAGTAGAGCCACGAGGGGAGCCCCTGACAGAGAGTAGGTGCCCATAAATACTGAAAGCCCCGAGGAGGAAACACACGTCAAGAGTTCTCACCCACAGGCCGTCTGTCACCAGCTCCCTCTTCCGTGGTGTCCTCTCTCTGGATATTATCCTCCTCCATCAGGATCTTCTGCTGAGTCTCCAAGGACAAACTAGGATCAGTGCAGCCTGTGCACAGCAAGAAAAGAAAGGTACCATGAGCAGGAGGCTGGAAGCTGAGGCGACCTCTGAAAACTGAAGGTCAGCAGCGCTAACATCTGGGGAACACTAACAACTGTTGAAATTGAAAAGCAGATACCCCGGATCATCCTGTATTCACTCTGCTGACTATCCTTCAGAACGACAAAACCTAAACACCATCACCACTAACCAACACCAACAGAAGCATACATATGGCTAGAATAATGACAGGTTAAAAAAAAAAAAAGGATGCTGGTGAACAAGTGGTGTGCAATATTTAGACCAAGAGACACAGCAGTTTTTCAGCATAGTTTCTATTTGCCATTTACTATGGCTCATTTTCTATTTCTCATCCCATGCTCATTATTTACCAGCAATCATCCTGTTAGTTACTTTGTCTTTATTGTATCTTTTAATTTCCACAAAGTCTCATATTATAGAAAAGGAAACCAATGCCTTTGCTCTTAAGAGCTCCCCACAGAGCCCCTGATTAAGAGAGGGTTCCCACACTTGTCATTATATCCAGTTTTCTCTGCAGAACTCAGAGTTGCCTTAGGAGATGGTGTGGTCCCCCCATCGTGTTATAGCTCCCATTTGTTTTGTACTTAAGATGCCAAATATTTCTCGCTTGATTTTCACAATAACTTTAAGGTAAGGAGTGAGAAAGGAAATTCAGTTTTGGACATGTTGAATTGGGGTATATCCGTAGATCATTCAAGTGAAGTACACGGTAGAGATAATGGCCATGGCTGGAGATGTTTATTTAGAGAATGCAGATCTTAAGAAATTTTGGTTTTCCTTAAAATGGGAGAAAGAAAGCTAAACTGGTTAATAGGCTGAGGGAAAACAGAGAGGGAAATGGTAAAGATCTAGGAGGTAGGAGATTAAATGATGCAGCAAGTTCCTGGGAGAAGAGAAGGGGGATGAGATCATCTTACAGTTGGAGGGTTAGCCTTGACAAAGAGATATATTCTTCATTTCAAGATAATGGATAAAGGAAACATGATGAGGATAGATACCCATGTAGTTCACAAGCTGTGTGCCAGAAAGAGTTAAAAGGATGGGATTTTTAGGTATGGAGGGTCTCACTCTTGTCAATGAAGTACTGTACTAACTCTTCCACTGAGAGTCTACCAGCTGGAATAATTTTGTAGGAGTTAAATGCTGAAATACAGAGTTCCATAAGTTACATTAAAGAGATGCTTGAATAACTTTTGGGCTACAAATAATACCAAGAAAGAAGACCAACCACAGAATGGGAGAAAATGTATACAAATCATACATCTAACAAGGGACTTGTATCTAGAACATATATATTAAAAAAAAAAAAACCTTAAAATTCAGCATGGTCATAGGATCTGAATAGATATCTCTCCAAAGAAGATAAACACATGGCCAATAAACATATGAGAAGATGCTGAATGTTATTAATTTTTAGGGAAAAGTGCATCAATCCCACAATTTGATACCACTTCACACCCACTGGGATGGCTATAATGAGAAAGACAGATACTAACACATGTTGGAAAGGATAAGGTGCCTGTGGGTATAGAAAACAGTTCCTCAGTTCTTCAAAAGGTTAAAAACAGAGCTGCAATAAGACCTAGCAATGCCACTCGTAGGCATATACCCAAAAGAAATGAAAACATGTTCACACATAACTTGAATACAGACGTTCCTATCATCACTGTTCATAATAGCCAAGAGGTAGAAACAGCTCAGATGTCCTTCAAATATTTGTATCATCACTGTTCATAATAGCCAAAAAGTAGAAACAGCTCAGATGTCCTTCAACTAGTGAATGGATAAATACAACTGTGGTTTATCCATACAAAGCAATATTATTTGGCCCTATAAAGGAATGATGGAGAAGGAAATGGCAATCCACTCCAGTATGCTTGCCTGGAAAATTCCATGGGCAGGGCTTCGGTCCATGAGGTCACAAAGAGTCAGACACGACCGAGCACGCAGTACGGCATAAAGGAATGAAGTACTGACACATGCTCCAACGTGGATGAAACTTGTGTGCACCATACTAACTGAAAAAAGCCCGTCACTAGGTATCACATATGGTATGGTTCCATTTATCGGAAATGTCCAGAATATGCAAGTCTGTAGAGATGCAAAGTAAACAGGTGGTTGCCTAGAGCTGATTGTGAGGCTTGAAGTTGCTAATGGGTGGGTGGGTGGGTGGGATCCTTTTGGGGATTGATCAAAATGTTCTAAAATAGATTGCGGACTTTATGAAAATATTTTTTAAAATACCGAATTCTACAACTTAAATGGATGAATTGTATGGTTATGGGGATTATATCTCAGTAAGCTTTTTAAATAAAAAAGAAACTTGAGATCTGAGGAGAGGATTATTGACAGAGGCGAGATTGAAGAACACTGCAGAAGACCAAATAATAAAAACAGCCATTATCGTAAGGGTTCCCATGCCAGGCACTGTGCTGGGTGATTTTCCTGCATCATCTCCTTTACTTTTCACCACAAACGCATGTATATCGGATCCTTTCCCCTCACGCTACAGGCTGTACCATTAACGCTCAGAGGACACACGGAGGCGAGACAAGATGTCGCCCGGGCCGCGCCAGCGGGGTCTCTTTCCCGACGCGCGTGCCCCGCTGGCCGCCCCTTTCGCTTTCCTACTCGGCCTCAACTCCATAGGTCCAGCTACATGCCAGTGTCTTTAGGCCAAACTTTCCCCCCGCACTCCCACAGTTGTGTGTCCGCCGTCGTCTCTGCGACGTTAATGAAGAGGAACACTCTCCTCACCTCCTCCACACTCGGCAGTCCTAGAAGCACGGGCACTGGCCTCCCTGTGTGGAGTGATTCCCCCAAGTTCAGTCAGTCAGTCAGTCCAGTCGCTCAGTCGCAGACCGTTTGCGACCCCATGGACCGCAGCGCGCCAGGCCTCCCTGTCCATCACCACCTCCCGGAGCCCACCCAAACCCATGTCCATCGAGTCGGTGATGCCATCCAGCCATCTTACCCTCTGTCGTCCCCTTCTCGCCGTCTCGCCCTCTGTCGTCCCCTTCTCGCCGTCTCACCCTCTGTCGTCCCCTTCTCGCCGTCTCGCCCTCTGGCGTCCCCTTCTCGCCGTCTCGCCCTCTGGCGTCCCCTTCTCGCCGTCTCGCCCTCTGGCGTCCCCTTCTCGCCGTCTCGCCCTCTGTCGTCCCCTTCTCGCCGTCTCGCCCTCTGGCGTCCCCTTCTCGCCGTCTCGCCCTCTGGCGTCCCCTTCTCGCCGTCTCGCCCTCTGGCGTCCCCTTCTCGCCGTCTCGCCCTCTGTCGTCCCCTTCTCGCCGTCTCGCCCTCTGTCGTCCCCTTCTCCTCCTGCCCCCAGTCCCTCCCAGCATCAGGGTCTTTTCCGAAGAGTCAACTCACTGACTAGTGTAGAGATAACACATCTCCCCTTTCTCTTCTGCTCGGAGAGGTCACGGTTGAGAAGAACAAAGGCTAATCTCAACTCTTAGATAGAGAGATAATGACCACACCCACCCCCTTTCAAGCTGGTTCCCTCAGGTTTTGAGATTTTACTGCTATTCGCTAGTTTTCCTCACCAATTAACTGCAGATAGACCTAGCAAGCAGTTAAGGGTTCAAGAAATCTTTATCTTCCTTTTCCATTCTTTCCACAGTCCCTTTACATTCACGCCTCTAGTCTGGAATGGGATGGCTGTAAGAGCAGAGACAGAAGATAAAGGGGTCTCACTGCCCCGGGCTCCGGGCTCAGTAATCACAGCCGAATCCTGGGGACCGTTTAAACAGACACCAAGTGCCTCCTGGGGAAACTGTGATGCCTGCTTACACGTACCCTACGCTGCTTCCGTATATATAAGTACATACATATGTGAGAAGCAGCAGAAGACATTTCACCGCAAAACGCGCGCGTGTGAGAGAAAGTCAGTCCGCTGCGTCCGACTCTGTGCTGCCCTGTGGACTGCAGCCCGCCAGCTTGCTCTGTCCATGGAGTTCTCCAGCAAGAGTACTGGAGTGGGTTGCCATTTCCTTCTCCAGTAAAATAAAATATCCCAATGTTCATGTGGGCTTACATTGTGGCAGACATCATACTAGTCTTTCTCTTTTTCACTGAAATAACACTGGCTTGTAACATTATGTAAGTTTCAGGTGCACCACATTATATTCCGACTTCTGTGTACACTGCAGCATGCTCACCACCAAAAGTCTAGTTTTCATCTGTCATCATAGAGTTGACCCCCTTCCCTCTGGTAACCATTACTCTGTCCTCTGTATCTACATGTTTGTACTAGAGCCTTCACAGACATGGTTAAGGCCTCACACAACCCACTGTGGGAGGTCCTCCTAATGGACAGATGAGGAAACAGAAGGTAGAAGAGCAGGAATCATTTCTCCAAGCACTCAGTCAGTGAGGGAAGCGACCAGAAACCTTCCAAGGGTCTGTGTGATTCTAGTGCCAGGTCCCTCCATCTCTCTATGACACCACCTTCCACATCCTTTCTGTTATCATCAAACCTCGTTTCATGTAGGTTTGTTCTAAAAACTCATAGAGGAACATGATTCTAACATCGAAATACATTTATAAGCAATCCTGCTTTATCAGACAGAGGATGAGATGGTTGGATGGCATCACCAGCTCAATGGACATGAGTTTGAGCAAGCTCAGGGAGTTGGTGATGGGCAGGGAAGCCTGGTGTGCTGCAGTCCATGGGGTTGCAAAGAGTCAGACACAGCTGAGCAACTGAACTGATACTCACGCTTTATCAACGTAAAAATACTAGATTAAACATTTAAAAACACTAAGAGTATGTACCATGGCCAAGTGGGATTCATTTCTGGAATGCAAGAATGACTCAGTATCAGGAAATCTATTATTATGAACATGTAAAAGTAATAGTCACATGATTATTTTTAAGACAAAGAAGAAAAGTTTTCAAAAGGTATTTCCTGATAAAAACACTCAAGAAAATAGGAAATGAAGCGTATTTCATTGTGCTTAATGTGGTAATATTAGGGGCATTTCTAATAAGATTAGAAATGAGTCAGGAGCATCCACTGTATCTATTACTGTTGAACATAGTCCTGGAGAAATTAGCCAGTAAAATTTAAAGAGAGAAAACAGTAAGAAGTACAGGAATTGGAAAAGTAAAACTATTTTCAGGTAATTTGGTAGTTTACCTAGAGAACCTGAGAACATCAATGATAAACTAACACAAACAATAAAATGAATGTACTCTTTTTTTAAATGCTAAAGATAATGTCAATTAAAAAAAAATTTCAGAGATAGTTTCAGAAATAATTTCAGAATAATTGTAGAAAAACTGCAAGAATAGCACAAAAACATTCTTTCTGGAACCATTTGGGGATAAGTTTTGAATGTGGTATCCTTCTGTCCTGAATCGGACATTCTCCAGATAACCACAACGTAAGCACCAAAGTCAGGACGCTATCATTGACCCTTACGGGCACTGAACTCACAGACCCCACTCAAGTCTAAGCACTGGTCCCAGTGATACTCTTCCCCGCTCTAATGAAGGCTCCGTGTTTCGGGTAACGGTCATGCCTCTTTAGGCTTCTCTTGGTCTGGAAGAGTGCAGTGTGGGTGGCCTCTCACAGACTAATTAATTCTCACCCCCACCCCTCTGCGCCAGGGGTGGTGGAAAAGACAGAGAAGTATCGCAAACAAATGCCATCCTGCCAGACATATAAAACGAATAATTGCTTGAGTGGGTAAAGAGTTGCCTTTTATTTTTACTACTATAAAAGTTTTAAACCAGACTGTAAAAATAGAAATATATTAAACCATTTACTCTTTGCTGAATTCTTACCACTTAGCATGTTCACAAGAAAAAAATCCCTTGAGTACCTGGGGTCCATGCTTCTTAAAGCTGACTTAATGCAAGTGTTTATGAATGCTGATGCTCTATTTTCTAGTTATCTCTTTGGTGGCAGAATACCACCTTCCTTTTTTTTTGCTACATTCTTTTGTGGGAGCCATTTTTCTCAGAATAGGTTGAAAAAAAAAAGAGATGGTGATTACGGGAAGGGTCAGTCCCTCTTCTGGGCTGCCTGGAGGAGAGGCGACACCAGAGAGTTGTTTAAAAATACAAATTCCTTAACATTCTAGACTGTCTGATCGGAATCTGTGGAGGTGCATCTATTAATATGCACTTTTAAGTCTACCAAGAGATTTTTCCTTGACTGGCATTGAGAAGTTGTTTTCTACACATTGGTTTATCAGAATGGTACCTATGAAATCCTAAAAATTGAGAAAATGATGCTGTCTATATCTCCGTCTTAGCAAGCCATGGCTAGTATTGCCATATGCATTTAAAGAAAGTCTATTTATTTTTGTTTAACTCAGCATTTCACCAGTTTATTCAAAAATAGAACATACTTCTTTTTCCTCACACAACTCATATTTCTGTAGCACACTCAAAACACAGACTTTGTGAAATATTGGTGTAGAGAATATGACTCACACTGTCACCCCCCTTTATTAACAGCCAGCAACTCTTTGATGTTTGGCAACTCAGTAATAAATGTAACCACAGCTACTCCTTTGGACTAGTACACAAGGTTTCACAAAGCCTTCGTGCCCAGCGTTACTCTCTGGCTTTTCCTCTGCTTCTCCCTAAATGTGACCAAAACAACCTGACAGCAGTTGTAATGAGTAGTATACATTGATTGCCAAACTGTGTTTCAGGCTCTGTTCCAAGAACTTTGTAGGCATTATACCACTCAGTCCACAGCCCTGTCAGTAGCTTGCTTTATTATAACGGAGGCACAGTAGGATGCTGAGGAGCAGAGAGATTAAGCAGCCAAACCTAAGAAAATGCACAGTTAAACAGTGCTGATGCATGCGTGGCAAACATTAAATCTGACTCAGACTTAAAGTCCACTGCATGGACCACTCCGTGCTTTGCTTGAGCTTCAGTCATCGGTCTTCTGCCACGTGTTCCTCCCTAAGAGTCTCATTCAACCAAAGCTTGACCTTGGTCAAGCTCTCTCCCTAAACTGCTCTCTTCTGAGCCACAGACCCAGCCTTCCCAATTGCTTGTTACACATTGCAGTGAGGAGCTATGGTTGGAATCTTAAACTCAGCTCATGTCTAACAGAATCTCCTCTTTCCCCTCCAGACTCACCCCTCCTGTGCGTCTTCTCTCCCCAGTCACTCATGCGTGTCCTCACGTGACTCACATGAAGACCTACTATGTGTTTGTACTGTGCTCTATCGAGGGTACACATCGAAGTGAACAGCACTGTGGTTCTCACTCCTAGTGTCTAGCACTCCATAACTTTAGTGAATGTATGTTCCATCATGTTCTTTCTCTTTCTCTGTTATGTCCTGTAATCTCCAGTGGCTAATACTTTATTCTCTAAATTATTCATAAATTATATTCAGCTGAAAGGGAATTTGACTGTCCTGGATGGTCTTTCTATGACAGGTCATTGGCACTTCAACAGGTGCTGTGCTGATATCAGTGGTCCTTATCAGGAGGTGGGGTCTACATTTCCTCCCTTTGGGTCTGGGTGGGTCAATAGGTTCTGTGGAAGTGATACTAACTGATACTTTTCAAGGCTGAGTTCTAACAGGCAAAACAGCTTCAGCCTGGCTGTTTGGGGATGTCTATGCCAATGGCAACCCACTCCAGTACTCTTGCCTGGAAAATCCCATGGACAGAGGAGCCTGGTGGGCTGCAGTCCATGGTTCGCTAGGAGTTGGACATGACTGAGCGACTTCACTTTCACTTTTCACTTTCATGCACTGGAGAAGGAAATGGCAACCCACTCCAGTGTTCTTGCCTGGAGAATCCCAGGGATGGGGGATCCCGGTGGGCTGCCGCCTATGGGGTTGCACAGAGTCAGACACGACTGAAGAAACTTGGCAGCAGCAGCAGCAGCAGGCTAGGAACCCAGGCCCCAAGCCAGAAAGACTATGCAGAGGCATTTCAGGTGAAGTTCTGACCGAGGACCCAGCTGACAGCTGGCACCGGCCTCCAGACCAGGGGGTGAGCAGATCTTCAGATGATGAAGCAGATCTTCAGTCCACTCTAGCCTTTGATGAGTGTAGCAGAGACAACTGTCCCCTCTGAGCCTTACCGGAATCGCAGGTCTGTGAACAACTTAAATACTGTCATTGTTGTAAGCCACTGAGTTTCGAGGTGGCTTGTTAGGTAGCAATAGGTCACCAGAACAGATGCCTATCTTTGTGCCAGCCAGCTATTGCCTGACACCAGCTCCCTGGCACAAAGCTCAATGCCTGGAAGGAGCTGTTGCCAGGGAGGCAGGCATCATGATGAAATGCCAGTTATGTTCCATTCTTTTTACATGTTTAATCCTTTCCAGCACATAATACAGTGTTTACATGCAGAGTACATCAAATAAATATTTACTGAGTTGAATTTAAATATAGTGTGACGGTAAGAACATGCATTTTGCTGTCAGATGTACTAAGTTTCAAATCACCACTCTAGATGCCACAGCTCTGGAGTAGAGAGTAAATTGCCTCTCTAATCTGTCCCTTTCCCTTCTTCTGAAACTGACGTGAACTTTAAAATACTTAAGGCATGTGAAGCACCTAAGAGTGTGTGGTTCGTGGTAGATCTATTCCTCAATCCTTACCTGACTCTCAAATTTTTAAATAGGAGACATAAGGATAAAATGAGAAAAAGTGAAACCTGATTATGAAGGATCCTAAATGTAAGGCTAAGGTCCAATTTTTAGACAATGGGGATTCATGGAAGATTATAGGGATGTGATATG